CAGCAACAGCTGAACCTTAAATTTATCCGTCACCGTTGATCGGTCTTGCAAAATATCTGTAAGGAATTTTGTTTCATTTTTCTGCAACGACTCCATCTCAGGGATGTTAGTCAGCTTTTGGTAGCTCAGATGCATTGCCCCTTCAGGGCTTTTGACAACTGTTGGATAAAACTCAGACTGCGCTCTCCCAAAATCATTAATTTTGTTCTTTCTAGGATTCTTTGGTAAAACAAATTGTCTTCTTGGAGTGAGTGTCTTGCTGCATGACCCACTTTCTGCAAAATTCCGCTTCACAGACAGATGTCCTGATATTTTTCTTTAGAATTTCCAGCTATGTTTTAGCAGTCACTACTTCAGAGTATTACTTCACTTTTATGCCCTGCCACAAACACCATTACTGTTCTCCTGATTAGGAGACACCCTTGGCTACCCGGAGGCTCTATTATTTACAGTTCACGTTGCTGTGATCTTTGATTGCTGACCACTCCAAGTTTAGAGTACTGAAATTGAATATATCTTAATTGTACACATCATAAACGCAGACTGATAAAGTCCAAACTTTGTGGACATGGGTAATGATTTTCAATTAAATGAATTTCAGCTTTTTCCTCAGGTCCTAAGGAGTCCTGCTTAACATGTAAATATGACATAAAGATTCACACAATTTATTTTATCTTTTTTAGTTATACAAATGAAACACTTGTGGGTTAAATGGAAATATTTGTACTGTAATTTGTCGCAAACTTCAAGGTATTTTTAAAGGTTATTGGACGTATATGTGCCATGTGTGAACAATACATCTAAATGCAATGTGACAAACAATGTGTTTCACTATGCACGTAGAGGTACAGTAAAAGGTTTGCTGTATCATTTAAATAACAAATTCAATTAATAAACATTATCTGAAGCAAACCAAAAATGATCCATTCAGCAGTTATGTTGATCTTACACTACCTATTGAGTTGAAATTTTTGCTACACAGTATAAGGATCATTGTAATTATTGCACTTCAAACTGCCAAAGGTTTTATGATCCTCAGTTTTCACAGGGCAGCGAGGAGATTTACCGTATAGCACAGGTGAATAAAATCCATCTCGTTCTCACAATGCAGTCTTAGTGAGCAACGCAGCATGAGTTCATAGAGTAGCCATTCAGGCCGTCAATCACTTCACATGTAAACTTTGTAGGAAAGAGTGGTGGTGCCTGACTATTACTTGCTGAGCTTTGCAAGAGAAGGTTCCCTTAATTATTAGAATCTCTTCCTTCATTCCCTCTCTCCCTCTTACATATTTCAGGCATGCATATACTATTAAATAGAAAAAATAAATGTAACCGCTGTTCTTTTTTAAGCTTGGCAGTTTGTTTGAAATGTGTTAATCTTTTGAAGACATTAAATGTGTCAGTGTCCAAATACTAGCACATTTTGTCATTAGATAGTGCTGACAGTGATCTGTGATATTCTACAATGGCCAGATGTGACTCCTCCCTTCAGTTTAAATGCCAAAAGATAGCATTTCAGCTAATTGTCTGGCAAAAGGTCATTAGGCATTTGTAAATGACACACATGGTGGTTGTTCATTAGAAGTGCTAAGAGCTGCTAGGGCTTATTAGAGTAGGACAGGCCCAAGCCAATGCCATCCCTCTCAGGGGACAGTCTGTGAAGTCCATTTATGGTGTATTGTCAAAGAGGACAATGCTGTCAAAGCTGTTATTTTTGTGCACTGACTGTAAAGAGCAGCCAAGGGCTGCAGTAAATCTGAGAGAGAATCTAACTGTGTTTTGGATGAATGAAGGATGATCAAACTGGGACCACCACGAGGTCCACAAGTTGTTCCAGTTTTTCCCATATCCAATTTTCTAAGTACACTTGGATCAAGTCAAAATTTCTAAACATATGCTACTGAGATGGTGCTTTGGATTACTCTGCCCCTTGGTCAGTATGTATCTTTTAAATGAAACAGTTGACTTTCATTTATCTAAAACCATTTAAAAAAAAAAAAAAAAAATTTCATCAGTTTAAGTGAAGGTTCAGCAGGAGTCTCAGCAATTGTAAGATAGGAAACATTGCTTCCAGGGGCGCTGTGGAGTGTGCAATAACATACATTTGAGGTGTCCCTGCTGAATACAATGGTTGGCTTGATTATGTTGTGGTGCTTTTGTCATCCACATCTTTGTTGTCTTCAAAATTCCAACATCCACTTCATAAATACACAATTACATAGAATGTTAAAATAAGCCAACATTTCTTGGTAAAAGCTCCAAATTTTTAAAGCTTGCCTAAATAAGTGATGTATTTCTAAGTATCAATGATGGATGTTATGTGCTGCTGCTGTTGCTCAGTATGTTCCAATTGTTTGTTTTTAATGTGCCCTCCAAAACCAAAAGTGTTATCCACAAGGGTTTTTGTACAAGTCCCCCACGTTGAACTGTAAAATATGTTGTTTGTCCTACAACAACACAAAGGCACATTTTCTGTTTGAATAACTTTCTGAAAAAAGTTAGCCTCCCAGCAGCTCCTAAAAATGTATCGCTAAAATCTATGCTGGTCAGTGACTTTGTCTGTCTATTGCTGTGAAATCTCCACTCTCTGTGATCTCCACTACAAAAAGATGTATTACCACATTATTGATTTTCACTTTTTACTTCTGGCAAAATCACTCATTCTATACAGATTCTGTAACTGACTAACACCTTATGAAAAAATGTACTCTCTAATAGTACAATTGCTATCTATGAGGACTGTTCAACCTTTAGGTTTGTGTGAAAACATGAGTACAACACTGTCTGTGCAGCATGCTTAAACTTGTGTGAAAGTGAGAGTCTCTTTTGCTCCTTTCATTTAATGCATCTATATTTTACACAACCGCCCCACACTTAGAAGTGATATGAAGTGATACAAAAGCAATAAACAGCTTGTCAGAAAGCTGTGGGACTATTATATTATAACGTTAACGCAACATCTTATCAACTGTCCTGCCTGAACTGTGCAAATCTTGGTAGCCTCACTTATCAACTGAAAAAGTGACCAATTTATTTGTAGAAATTGTCCCATCAGGCTGCTTGGTCATGAACAATTCAGCCACATTCTGTACTGCTTTAAAGTAATGTTTCTATAACACAGGAAGAATCTCTACAGTTAAACATCAGTAGTTTTCTTTCTGGGGAGGTGAGTGACATATCAGCAGTGCCAAAATAAAGTGGCAACAGGAAATTGTCATTTATTTGTGCTGGTTTTCCAACAAGTACCATATTATGTCACAAGAAAGTCGGGGGGGAGGATTGGAATCACAGACAAGAAACAACATAACTTGCTAAAGGAAAAAGTGAGTTTCTAAGCTGTGAAACTAATGAAGCAGGGAACAGAGATAACCAGCGTTGATACTACACTAAAAAATAGAATTCTTCAGTATAGATGGTTATAAAAGATGTTTGTTTACGAAATTAGTACATAATGGCTAGGATTCGAAATGCACATTAAATAAATAGACTTTACAAAAATAATATTTCCCATATTGGCCGAGAAACTTAAGCCCAACTGTAATTGAACTATGCAGGAAAATGCTGTATGTCTTAATAAGACTATGCAACCTTGAGTTGGCGACCCTAACCCTCAGCACATTTAAGCGGCACACTAGAGAACAGTACATGACGAGAGGGTTCTTGGTAAGAATCCTACCTGGGGGATCTCAGTATGATATAAAAGGTCAATTAACTGTAAGATTTATATGGAAGTTAATGACAGAATTAGAAGTAGGGTAAATGGACTATTACTCAACAGATTTATTTGAGCAGCACACATCATAGAAACTCTTCAGTGCACCTTTTCACATGAAGTGTGAAGAGCCTTCACTTTGAAGAGCGTTATCACTGTTGAGGAAGTTACACCTTTAGCTGTCTTTCTAACAGAAATGATAATTGCAATTGCTTTTGAAAGAAAACATTTCCAGGCAAACTCAAAATTCACAAACACGTCTTTAACACCAATAGTATTCTGCTTGAGTTATTATTGGGTCAAAAAAAGAAAGAATCTTTTACCAATCCTGTCAGCCATCACTGGAGTGCAAAAATCTTTAGAACACAAGGATAATACATCTGACGCATGACAATAAAGCTTTTTTTCCATAAAACCTATAGAGTGCTTTGAGTAAGTGGCAGCTGAGGACTTAAAAGTGTTTCTTTGACCAACCACTTAGTTCTCTGTTTAAAGAGGATGAATAATGATTCATTCAGAGAAGAACCATGAGATTCGTGGATGGGGGAAAACAAATCTTTGTATTCTCAAATTGCCTTTAATAACTTACATTAACCAAAATAAATTAAAGAACCAATCACTTCTGTAAAACACTTGACCAAAGTTACAGTTATTCTTAACTTTCCCCTTGGGGCCCGCAACTGCATGTAATTCCCTTCTTTAGACCAATTGTGGTCTGCTTTTGCCAGTGTTTAAGACAGGACTATGTTTGCATACAATAATATAACCAGTTATAAGTAAAAAAATGATTTTTTTCCACTGATGCATTGTCTTGAAAACAAAATGCATATGCATATTTTTCAATACAAACAGCTTAATGACAGTTGCTTGTTTTTAAAAGTCTCAATTTGGTTATCAATAGTACAAGTAATGCTTTCCCAACCATTAAATGCATTTCTCCGCATTATGTGTATGAGTATCTGCTCTCTGAAGTGATCAATTTGCACAGCTAAAGGAAATGTTTTGAATTGAAGCTTGTCTGTGATCAAAGCTTTAAGAAAGACTTAAGAGCACAATCATATTTGAACATGAGCACACTTCTATAACCAGAAAATCATATCACAATCCCCAGAAGGGATTGGGAAGCAAATGTTTTCGAATCCCTGTGCCAATTAAAAAGAGCACTGACATTCAATTCTTCCATTCCCTTAAGTTTGAATGTGTGTATGGATCTCTCTTCATTCTGAAAGGCTGCTGTCTGTGATGTCCAACATCCAGTGAAGCATGCGGATGTAGTTGATTTGTTTACCTTGCAGATGCAGCTTGCTCTCAGGGCTCTGCAGGAGGATGGAGCTAACTGAGTCCAGATTGTCATAGCTACTGCATCCCAGTGGCCCTGTCCGTGTCTCTGTTACCTGCAAGAGAATTAGGACTCAAATGAAAGGCACATTACAGAAACAAGTGTGAGTTTGTGGGTGTGGGTGTGAACGTTAGCTGGTATATTATGAGCCTGGAGAGGGAAGCACGTCTTCATTCTATATTCTTGTTTTCAACACCCTTCCGTTCTTATGCCGGGTATTTTTTCGCCATGCTTTTAGCATATGTAAAGGCAGGGATCATGTGATTATCCAAATAAGAATTTCCACTGTTTATAACATTGCCAGTGAATAATATAACAGTTAGAGAGAATAGATCTATGTGCTAATTGCACTGTAGTCACACTGGTAAATTTCCCCCCACCAGGCTGCAGATATTTGTTCATAGTCTTTGCCTTTTTCTTTAACGCCTGCTCTTGCAAACCTCACTCACAAATTTGAAGTGCATTCTGAAATAACAACTTTGCACAAGGCATTTTAATGGAGCGACCGGTTACATGTCGACCTTTAGAAGAATGAGATTTCTCTTGGCATCACTGAAGAAAAACGTATTGACTGAGACATATTAGAGCTCACTTGTTTGTTGTTGTTTTTTTTAACAATGTGCTGATTTTCTTCTGTATAGTCACACTGACAGGCTCTTCCTTCCAACCCCAAGTATTGTCAAGTACTTGTTAAAACAAGTAATGGTACAATTCAAAGGTGTGGAAAATGTGCTAAAATATAATCTAAAAATCTCAAAGAGGTGGATTCTGAAAAGACGACTCATTAGCATCCTGTTCATTGCAGGCAAAAGGAAGATGCCAAACTAGAGAGAAATCCACTGATTAGACTGACAAAGGGGAAAAAAAACTACTTCCAATATGACACACTCTACTTTCAAATTGATAGTTGATCTTTACTTTTGGTGTTATGGAAGTGCCATATTGGCAACAAAAAGGCAATACATTATTTTGGCTACTGTGGCTAGTGTAAAGACAACACTGCCAAATACATCTTTCTTTCTGTTATCTGATATTTCCAAACAGTTCACCACCACACTCTCCAGACAAACTCTTTACATGTTCTAACATTTTAATGGAAAGAGTGGAGTGCACAGTAAATTCACTATAATTCCTTCACAAAATGATGATTGCTTGGACTGAAAACGTTCTCTGGAAAGTCTAGAGACATTAAAAAACAACATTACATAGGTCTGACGAATAACCAAAACCATGAACCAGAAAGCCCCTGTAGGCTTTGCATCTGCAAAAGCGGAATTATCATGTGTAGGTGCAGGAGGAAGTCATTATTGCCACTTTAGATAAAAAAGGTGAAATGACAGAAATGGTTTGGGTGAAAAAAAGAGGTCAAAAACTGCCTTCTTTATTTCTTTAAAGCCCGATCCAAGAAAATTGTGATTTTTTTAAGTCTTTATATGTCCCTATAACAAATATGAAAAAATAAACATAATTATTAATACTTTATTGCTGTTTGACAAATAAAAATCATTGTTGTGTAGTCTTCTGCCCGCTGTTATTAGGTATATCTGACTTTCGACAACAGGGTTTCGAGCAAATATTTTACCATTAAATTACGCAAAAAAGTCTCCAATACAAAACATTTCAGAAACAGACGTATCAAAGATACATATTGCATTATTGGGTCAAAGGAATAAATCAAATCTACATCAGCTAATTAGAACAATAAGGCCCAAACCATATTTCCCAACATGTGTGGCCATTAGCATCACATTTTAATGAAAACATACTCTCAGCTTTGACGTTCAATGCAAATGACCTCAGTAACTTTTAACAGTTTGTGTGTGCGTCGTTGAACAGAGAGGGGGAGACTGAAGCGAGATGCAATTTTTTTCCTGTCCTTAATGCTGATACTGTACCAGATGGTAGGCTGACAAGCAAGAAATTAGACAGATGTATATCTTACCCTTGGCATCAGGCAACTGGGGGAGGGTGGCAGGAGGAGGTGAGGTGGTGCAATTGACAGATTGAGCCAGGCTTTCCAGGAGAACTATATAACTATACCATCCAATCAATATGTTCCTCAATAAATCCTTCCAAAACATTTGAATTATAATCATACAGTTGAAAGAGATTTGATAAAATAGTTGTATGTATTTTCTAATTACTTCCTGTGTTAAGGAACGCCTGAAAACAGTGGTGAAATAAGCAAGTCTTGAGCTGAAGGGTTTTCAATCAGTATGTTACTTGTTAACTGAGAAATAGGAGTGCCTATGGAAATTCTCAACTTTTGATTAAAAAAAATGTCAAATACTTAGGTGCATCAGAGATGTTCTACCCCAGTATTAGAATATTTAGTAAAAAACTGTACACAGTTTATGTTGTATTGAGTAGTGTATCTTTCAGTAAAAAACAAACTGAGATATTGCTCACGCACTTGTTCATGTGCAAATACTTCTATCAAAAACAAGTAGATGACCCACCAGTCTAATTTTGTTTTGTTGAACATTTGAAAAGTTTGTTTAATAGGCCATGGAAATTTTCAGAACACTAGTTTTTGGCAATTCTGAACGTTTTGTTCCAAGCAGTCCTTCCAGTAAATTATCTATAGACAGATCCATGTGTAAAACATCAACAGCATGTGATTTAACAGTAAACTCCACAGTAATTTCAGAGAGAAGATAAAAAGTAGGTCATGAACTAGACTGCTGCAATCTTTTCTTCTGCTGTCATCTGTCATATCTGGATGATGGTATCCAAATGAGTTAATATGATATGAATACGCTTTCCTGACTTTTTACATTTTTGACTAAAAAGCAGGAAGATCTCATCCAGTGGGTTTGGAACTGTCAGGAAGGTGAGAGTTTCCGTAAAGCCTGTAGTTTTAACAGCTTGTTTCAGAGAGTGGATACATTCAGGGGATTCGAAAAGAACCAGTAAACAAAACAATCAGTGTTTCAGGGAAGCAATGTTAAAAATACAGCATTTGGAATTAACAAAATGTGAAATTCAAACCCTAACTAAGACTGCAGAACAATATCGTAATTCAATTTATGCTGTGTTGGCAAAAAAGATGTAAATGTCAAAAATGAGATAATGAAGGAAATGCTTAAAACCTGAGCTACATACAAACCAGGTCACATTGTAATTTGCATAGACTTAACTAATTAGAGCTGTTAGTGTGTCATTTGAAACAGTGAGTGAGTGAGTATTGCAGCCACATCACTGCTTTAAATCTGGTCAACAATTCTGAAGCAACTACCCGCTGGAAGGCTTTGAGATGAAATGAACAGCCTTCCTGGAGGATGTGCAGATTGACCACAGATCAAGTGCTGTCGGTCATGCTTTTCTATGTTAAAAGCTGCTGACGGTGCTTTTTTGTGGGGCTTTTCTTGGGCTGAATACCAGACTTCAGAAGGTGAAATAGCATGATCCATGTTTAGTGAGCAAAGCCATTAGCTGTCTTTTGTCACCCAAAGATTTCTTCCAAGTGGATAAAAGACTGCATGAGCACATTATTGCCCATTGGTTGAGTGTAAATACGGAATAACATGAAGACTTGACACAACCTGTTTACTATATGCTTTTTTCAATCAAGAATTTATTTTCTAATTTAAAAGCAAACACACCCAGCTTTTCAGATGAGATTGACCCTTGTAATCTGAATGACTTTAGGAGAACTGTGTGTAGTAGTTGTCTCTTCTTTCTCCCCACCACACTTAATAAGAGTTCAGCGCGCCAGATTATGAAAATGGAGTTTAGTGTTGTAAAAATAAAAGGAGCAATCAAAGGACTGAAGTGGGCCAAGGGGGACTTAGAGGATTTGGATTATTAAGCAGAACACAACAGTGGAATCCCAGCAGGCTGAGAATATATCACACAGCACAGTCAAAACCAAGGTTCCGGAACATTCTCTTTAATTGTCATCTGCCATCAAGAATAACCTACCCAAGTAAATATGAGATGATGCACATGAGATCATAAGTTTCTTGTGTTTCTGTGTTTTCTGTTGGAAACCAATTGTGCACACATGCTATTCCCCATGCTCCAAATGTTAGAAACCCAAGTTTGCCTGTTTGTGCAAACTTCTTTCTTTTTCAAAAATACAATATTCATTCTGAGGACAGAGATACAATACAGCTGTAGTAGGAGTATGTGTGGGCGCTGGATGTGTGCATGTTTTTGTGTGTGTCAGCGAGAGTCAATTATATTTCTTCTCATAAATATGAATCCCATATGAACTTGTCTTTGCCAGTTAATTTATACTGCCTATGGTCGCCAGCCAAACATTTTTAACTCATGCTAAATATTGGGAAAAAAGCCCAGGCTCTGTCTCCATTCGCTTTCACTGGAACTGACCAACTTGACCTGCTCTAATTAGATACCCAACAAACAACGCAGTGTGTACCCAATTTATTCTACAATCAATGCCACAATGTTTATGTGTTTCAGTACATAGGGCTTTCACTTCAGGTCTTGAGCTGACCTTTCTAATACACCTGCCTTCAGTAAGCACCAATTAAAACTCTCCTCAGGATTTACGACTTATTAAACATAGAGAGGAGAACTTCTGCATTAAAAATGGGAATCAAAGGTCAGCTCATGACACATGAACGCTAAGTGTTCCAAACAATCAGATGGAGGATAATCTAATAACAAAATACATTCTTGCGGACATTGAAGCATCATGAGGAACGTTGAAAAAAATCAACTATAATGTAATGCCTATGGCAAAAGTGGATGAGAATTAGAGTCATGTAGGTCAAAACAAAGTTGGACATATCTGAGTAAAAATTGAAGTACCTTGATGTCAAATGTTCATAATTTAGTAAATCAGTTTTTTAAAACAGTTTTCAGACTTTATATTTTCAATAATGTAACATACATTACATGTATATTAAATACAATAAGATCTCCAGCTCTTGGCTTAATGATCATGATCTTAAATAGGTTTGCATAGTGGCAGATAGGAAAGGATATATACATTAAATATCATCCTTGAATGTGAACTGGCTGGTTCATGTGCAATAAAAAATCTTCTCTACTACGTTCATTAGTTATAACAGCATACTGAGAGCT